CATTTCTTTATATTATAGGGACAATTACAAAAAAAAAAAATAATAATAAATAAAATTCAGGGTTTGAGTCTTTTAACAAAACAAATCCTAAGTTTTCAATTTCGTCAATTTAGACACTAATGTTTTAACTTGTTTTCAATATAAACTATTCACCTATTTTCTTTAACTAAGATTGACGGAAAAAAAAATATTTTAGCCATTAGACTTAATGTAGGTATATATAAACTATTTTAAATACATTTTTTTGTTGAATTTAATGACTAAATACACATATTTTCATCAATTTTAGTTAATGAAAATAGACAAATAATTTATATTGAAAAAAAATAAAAAATTTAATATTGAAATTGATAACATTAAAAATTCAAGTTTTGTTTTATTACAAGGGTCAAACTCTGAGTTTTTTTTTTTTTTTTTAATTTTTTTTATTATTTCCCTATATGATATTATGTGACTATCTCATTGAATTGAAAATAACATGAGTATTGGGACTTATTATATTATAACTGTATTAACAAATGATATGATAGAAATAATATGATATAAAATTATAATAAATCTAGTATTATTGAGCATTAAAATCGATAGTTGATTAATCTCAAGTAATTGACTGAGCGGTAAATACTTGAAAAATTCAAGGTCTTGAGTTTGAATTATCTTTAGGGGTCATTGAAAATCTGCCCAGTTGCTAATTTCAAGAGGTTTATTAAGATATTTGTAAGTTGATCCGAATATCTGATGATGATGATAATAATAATAATAATAATAATAATAATAAGAAGAAGAAGAAGAAGAAGAAGAAGACAAAGACAAAGAAGAAGAAGATAATAGTTGATGTAAAATCAAAGCTAGCAACCCAGGGGGTGTGGTGGAGTGGTAAGGACTCCTCCTTCCTTAACCAAGTGTCGGGGGTTCGATTCCCGCCTTGGGCATGGAGCAGCCTTAAATCTTTGGGCCAGCTGTTCCATCCTTCGAGGTGCCTACAATCAACGAAGGGATTAGCCTCCGCGGTCGGCGGAGGATACCCTGGGAGACCAAAAAAAAAAAAAATCAAAGCTAGCCAGCTGGAACAAGATTAAAGTTGAGTTGAATTTTAGTATACTTGTGTCCTATTTGTACCCTAAATTGAAAACTCAACAATGTGTTGTAAAATCAAAGCTAGCCAGCTGGAACAAGATTAAAGTTGAGTTGAATTTTAGTATACTTGTGTCCTATTTGTACCCTAAATTGAAAACTCAACAATGTGTTCATTAATTCTCCAACATAATACATATGAATGGCATGACTTGTGTGGACTATATTCTGTTTAATGGAAATCTTTTCAATTAGTCTGGGTGTCTTTTAAAAGTGTGCAGTTATTATGATTTTGCCTTAGTGAAGAATACTGATAACAGCAAATTTCTATTTCCAGAGACATTAAGGCTAATTCCAGAGCAAGAATTTTATATTTAGTAGATCACGCTAACAACAACTCATAAGCTCTCGTCAAGGTGAAATAATGTCAAAATAATTAGAATTTAATGCAATTTTTTTGTGCGCATATTTTCAGATGTTTTAAAATATGTTTAAAAATTTATATATATACATACAAAATTATCTAGACAACCAAAAAAAAAAAAAAAGAAAACCTTGGCGATAGAGATTCTCCTACTCAATCTAAATATAATGTGTAATGTTATGCAAATTAACAAATTTTATAAACTTTGTTTAGTTACGTGACATATCATACCATTGGAATGGCATGTTTTAGTTTTAAAAAATTCTTGGGTATATTAAATTTTTTTAATCTTTATAGTTTGACTAAAATTTCATTTTAGTCTTTTATATTATTTTAATTTGAATAATTTAAAGTCTACATTTTAAATTCAGTTTTAATTTGATTTTTCGGTCTAAATTTCTATTAATTTTCTCCTACTTGTACACACCTCAAGAGAGTGACAAGTATAAAAAATAAAACAATAAAAATTTAATTTTAACCTTCAACTTGAATGGAAAAAATAAATTGAAATTAAAGTAAAAAAAAAAATGTAGAGATAAAATTGTTCAATTTGAAATAACAAGGACAAAATAAAATTTGAATCAAGTTATAAAGTTGAAAGTATAATTTACCTAAATTTCTTTATTACACGACACATCCATTAATTTAAAAAAAAAAAACTGATAAATTTGGTTTGAGTTTTCTGGATTAAGTTTTTTAGTGTGTTTGGTTTGAGTTTTTTGGATTAAGTTTTTTAAAAATTGAGTTTTTTGATTTTCGTATTTTTTTGTTTTTAGTGAATATTTTTAAAATTTTAAACATTTTTTTTACTTTTTTAGATGCACCTTATTTAGATGTATCTAAAAAGTAAAAAATTTATGAAAAAATATTTTTAAAAATTAATAAATACATAAAAATACAAAAAATGTATTGAATTCTCGTTTTTTTTTTTTTTGTATTTTTGGTATTTAGTGCATTTTTAAAAGGTTTCTTTCACAATTTTTTTTATTTTTTAAGTATATTTATGTTAGGTATGTCTACAAAGTAAAAAAAATTACTGAAAATATTAAAAATTTCAGTAAAAACAAAAGAATACGAAAAATAAGAAAGTAGAATTTTCTGAAAAAAGTTTTTAAAAAACTCTAACCAAGCATTTTTTTTGTTTGAACGGATAAAATTTATTAATTTATATAACATTTTCTGAACTGAATCCTAAAAAAGAAAAAAGAAAAAAAATTCTCTTTCTTATGGGGCCACATTCAGAGATGGTACTGGTCCATGCCCATGGCCTTCTATTTGGTGACCAGTTGACATGCATATAAAGTTGTTTAAAACGATCTAAATAAGAGTATTTTTTTAACTTTTTATGAAATATGAGTTGAGTTTAAAGTGATATGATAGAGAGGTGATGTGATTTAAATAAGATAGTGACTTTTTGACTTTTTAACTTTTTTAGATTACGATAAATAAGGCCTAATTGTTATGAGTGGTGAAAGAAAAAATGTGAATGTAATTATGAATATGAATGTGATATGGGACTATACTAGCCGTGTTGTGCATGTCATGACACAAAGGTACAAATAGAGTGGAGGTGGGGATGGGGAGAGTTATGGGCGTCCACTGGAGAGCACAAAGGGTTGAGTAAAATTGAAAATAGAATCTAAAAAACGTACAAAGAAATAATTTAGTATAAACTTTTTAGTATACTTGAGAAGTGATTATTTTAGTTGGTTTTTTTAAATTTTTATGAATAAACGTACAAAGAAATAGAAAGAGTGATGTAATTAGATATTTTAATTTTTTGACTATTTCAGTCAAAAAAAAAAAAAAAAAAATCAACACCCCAAACGGAATGGTGATTGATTTATAAAGTGAGAATAATCACTTTGTTGATGTTTTGCTTAATTATTGGTGTAGAATATTGCTTTGATAACAAATAATTGCTAATTCATATGAAACATTACTTCAAGAATAATAAATAAATAGTACTTTCATTTTTTGTTTTTATTTTTTTTAAATAAAAGATAATTGAAAGAGGAGCTGCTTTCTCACTTTACAAAAAATAATGAACAAATGAAAATGATAGAAAACTCAACACAAACAACACAAAAAAAAATCTCATAATATAGTAAAAATTACATAAAAATCTCGTCATAACAAAGAAAAAAAAATCAAAATTTGCTTTTGATAAAAATTAACCATAGAATTTGTCACCCTAACTTTCTAATTTAGAGTGTATAATTGGTCTCATCTGCAACAATGTTAAGAATATAAAATAATTTATAGATTATGCAATAGAAGTCTGAGATTAAATTTAATTATACAGAAATCTATATTTAACATAAATCTTAGTCAATCATATTATACTTTGAGTAATGACATACAAATAAAACAAAACAAAAAAATAGAAAAATATTATACATAATGATTTGATAAATTATAATTTTTTATTTAGAAACATAATACCTATCATTTTTGTCATAATTTACAAAGATACTACGAGGATATCATTCTTGTAATAAATTCCCTAATAAAGGGATGAGAAAAATTTTGCCCTATTGTATGGTGAAAATATGTTAGTATGAGTGCATCCATGTTATATATATTATTATATAAAATATATAACATTAGAACATAAAATTTTGTCACAACTTTTAGCTTTCTAAGATTAGCTTTATTTAATTTTCTAAAATACCCTTTTCAAATTTAATTATTTCAAACAATAACTGTCAAAATTTACCTATTTAATTTTTTTAATAATTTAGGCCTTGTTTGAAATTTTTCTGAAACACAAACCAAATAAGGCCTTAGAGCATCCACAATGGACACGTTAGTAGTGTTGTTAGTGTCAGTGGCCAAATTTTAGGTAGCTACAGTAACATTTGGATGCCACAATGGACGCGTTAAACAGTGTGTTAGTGGGCTTCGTTAGCGTCAGTTGCTAAATTATTTGTTAACTGCGGCTAGCACTTTAGCTAGCGAAGGGAAGTGTTTTTTTTTGTCTTTCGGGTTGACCGGCCAGATGTCCGGCCAGTTGACCGATCAACGGCAAATTTTTTTTTGTTTTTTGGACTTGAAATTTAATTTTAGATTTGAAATTTTTGATTAAACTAAATTATTTATTTATTTTATTTATTATATATACATATATATATATATATATATATTTAACACACACTTTAACACATCTATTGCACCACCACTCCCTCTCTAAAATTAACAAACTCTTAACACATCTTAACAAACATTTTAAATCTTACTTTTATCACTTTTTATTATATACTAATACATTTTAACAAACAATTTTGAGTATCCTCATTGTGGATGCCCTTAGCGTTTTACTTTCTGAAACCCATTATGTTTCAGGTCCTTTATGAAGGAAGAATTCATATGTATTAGTTGAAGTGCCCAAAATTCAACAAAAATAGTGCTCAAGATAGGGCTCGTTTGGTTTGATTTTCTGAAAAAAATTTGGGAAATTTTCTTTACAAATAAGTTTTCAAAAATAACCAAACCAACCCGTGTCCATGGTCTTATCTTCAGCTACTTTCTTTTAGCTCTTCTCTCACCTTCCCCATATTTGGTAAAAACTAAGAATTCAAGCTTGTCTTGTCTTCTGATTATCATATCATACTTGCCCAAGTAAAAAAAACCCACTGAAACTGAGGTATGCAATTCCAACCCACAATCCTTTGAAATTCTTACTACTACCCATTTTTAATTGTAGTTAATTTTGATTGTTGGTTTTGATACTTACTTCACTCCCATAAATAAATACACAGCTTTCTTCTTCTTCTTATTCTTTTTTCTCTTTAAATTCTGATGATGGATGATATATTATCTTTTTCTGTTAACTTGTTTTAGTTTTTGGATCTTGGGTTTCACTCAATTTTTTTTTTCTTTGTTGAAGGTATTGTCAGTTACTTACTGGGTTTTATGTTGCTTTGGGGTTTCCAGAGTGAGCTTCTTATCTCATGTTCTTGAGGTTTCTTACTGGTTTTGGGGTTTATTGCAGTAGATTCTTCAGGTTGGCGGGGGATCTTCTGTTTGTCTGTTTCAAAACACTCACAATTATTAAATTGTTTCGAAATTCTCGTATCTCGAAAACTATTAGATTGCGTATGAATCTTGAATTTGAAGAGAGATTTGCGAATAGAATGAAAATTAGAAGGGGAAAGTGTAAAATATTTAGCTTCAATTTCATTCACTTTTCCTTTCCCATTTCTTTTCACTCTACAAATCCTTACTCAAATTCAATATTCAAATACAGCATAAGTGTTTTGGGACAAGAACATGGAGAGAGAATTAGGTACAGATGATATTTGCCCTTTATTTATAGACTTGTTTTTCTTCTTAATGATTGAGGTTGAATGAGGTCTACATTGGAGGAGGCGTTGTGTCCCTTGTTTCAATTTTGTGTTTTGTTGTGTTGGTTTACAATCACCTTTTAGGTTATGTTTGGATAATGGATTTGGGTTGGGGTTTGAAAAAGGAAGAGAAAATGTGAGGATAATGTGAATGAAATATAAGTTTAATTTTTTCTTCTTTTCCCTTGCCTTCTTCGTTTCTTTCTAAATCCCTACATAAATCCATGATCCAGACACAAGCTTAATATAAGAAGTTAGATTTTTGTATATATCTACACTAATATATAAAATTAGAAAGAAGAATGGTGGATTTGTTAACTCAGGACCACTGTGAATGATGAAGCTACTTAATCTTGTTGAAGATTTATGATAAGCAAATGGTAAAACAAATTTTTGCACATTTCAAATCTCCTTATATGGTCTTTTTCTATATCAAATTAATTTAGTAGAGTCTGCATATCTTTCTGTTGGTTGGTTTCTTCTTTTCAATCTTTTAGTTTCCTTAAAATATGAAGGGGAAAAAAAAAATTATGAATACTGGAAGAATGTAGCTTTTCTCCCATTCTCTCCTCTTCCCTACCCACACCCAAATATGTTGCTGCTTTTGAGAGAAATATTTAGATTAGGATGGGCATCAATACCTCAATGGAAAGCTTTGTGAGAAAAGAAAAGAAAAGAAGCGAAATGGTCACGGGATCCTTGACTGTTTTTTGCATAATTGAAGAGAGAAAAAGAATAGAAAATAGTGTGTTTTCTTTCACTCTAGTTGGGAAAATATAGAGGAGAGAAAGGAAAAGAAAAAGAAGTTTATGCGGGCAAGAAGAGTAGAGCACAGAAAATTAGTTTTTGTTAAATTTTGGGACAAAACTGAATTATAATGTTTTTTTCTCTCTCTCCAAATCTCTCCACTTTTACGACAGATTCCGAAGTGTTTTATTTTTTATGAAATTTTGGTTTCCATCCATTTTTCTTCACTTTCTTTCCTCTTAAGCTACCCGAACAAGTGATTGTATAGGACAGTGTCCCTTTTCTTTTCTTGTTTTTACTTCCCAAATCACTCAGTCCAAAAGGACTAAGTACTCATTTCTTGTTTATAATTGGGGTAAAACATATTGAGCTTGTTAGTTCTTTTATTTGAGTCAAACAGGTGGCCTGATAATGATAATAAGAATTGATGGTTAAGAAGTACTGACACTTCTAAGAAAGTGGCATATAACTAGTTCTCCTCGAGTTTGTCCAGAATGCGAAGATCAAAGAAGAATTTTCAGGCATTAGTTTCTCTATACACAACATAACTACTTATTTGGTGTCAGCTCACCATAGTCAGGATATTCAATATCGTACTTCACGTTGAAGCACTGAAGCTTTAGGTATCTATGTTTTTCTTAAAGAGGAAAGCCCAATATCATAGCATGCTAATTTTCTCTGAAATTGTGGCCACTCTGTTTTACCGTAGGTTTGTCCATGGCAAGGACCATTTGTAAAGTTGTCTCGCTGCCATCGAATATGAGATTTGATCTGTTATTTGGTCAAAATTAGGTAGGATTTAGATGTTAATTAATTTCTGGTTTGCGAAATAGATGGTCAAAACCAGTTTCCATGATTCACATGTTTTTTGTTATTTCATTCCCTATTGTAAGAAATTGTAATGTGGGGCTTTCATTGCTTTCTTCTTTTTGAATTCCAATGTATGCTTTTCTTGTGGGGTGATTGATGAGGCTTTATTCTCTTTTTCGTTATGAAGACTTTCAGCACTTGACTAGAATATGCAATTATGGAACCACCACTACTGGTACCAGTAATGATAAAAAAATAAGTAAAATTCTTAGGTACAAATCAATTTTTCTAAAGAGGGTTTAGCGGACAAGAAGAATCTGAGAAAGCAGTTAAATACCCTTTAAGGTGCTAGCTACCTGGTTTAATTGTAAAAATTTCGTGGAGGCGAGCAATGAGTTCCCTTTTTAAGGTTTGAACAATACCCCATTCACACTGATGATTTAGTACTTATATCCTGTGTTGAATTCCTTGTTGTGTGTTGAATTTCTTGGCTAGATTCTTAAATGGTATCAATATGAGCTACTCTTTTCTTGATAGATCTTGTGTATTCGAACACCCAAATTTTCACATATTGAATCGAGCTTCTGTTATGCTCAGATTCCCTAGGGTAGCATCTAGTCTTCCAGAAATCTTTGCTTGAAATGGCCATAATACTGTATGAAATGTATGAACTAAAAGCATGAGACTTGAATTTTCTCCCCTTATGTCACACTTTGCACATTTTGTTCTAAAAATAAATAAATAAACGCAGTGATAATTATTTATATGTTTATTAAGTGAAACAATTGGCATATTTTCTGAAGGTATGATTCTGAGTAAAGGTGTGGGCATGATAGCTTCTATAATTGTTGAGGTAAATATTTGTGTATATTGTTTCAATTTGAACGATGTTAATCCTAGACAGTCCAATATCAATTTGGTCATTTTGTCCAAATTATTGTCAATTTTTATTTATTTATTACATATACTCCTCATGTGACTGACACTCGTTAAAAAAATGAACTTTAACCTCTAATTTGAGTGAGAGGACCAAATTGAAGCTATAAACCAGCCCCCGCACGCATACTGCTCCATTGTCATTCCTCTTATTTGTTGTCTTCTATATTCTATCATGATATTCTGTTGTTTCATGGCTAGATTTGCTCTCTCCCCCTCGGAAATGTATAATTAATATTGTGATACATGCAGGCGAAGATTTAAATAACAACCGTTAGCATTTGAATTAATCTCCCCTGCTATTTCTCACAAGAAAAAGAATCAAGCTTTTGATTTAGTTGTCCTACTACCCAACATGAAGCCTTCAAGTTTCAACCTAGACTCCGAAGATGAGTCCGAAGTCAGCAGCCAAGTTGCTTCCAACATATCGATCCAAGAAATCACCCCCGATCCCTCCAACGGCACCACATCTTCCTGCCTCACAAATTCAATAAAGCTTCAACCACATCCCGACCCTGTTTCCCTCGATTTAACACTGAGCTTTGATCCCAGTGATGTCGAGTTCAAGGGCACTGATGTTGGGTTCAAGGGCATGGACGACACTAGCAATGAGAAAACCGCTCATGATCCACCACCGGCAGCCAGAGTATTTTCGTGCAACTATTGTCGGCGCAAGTTTTACAGCTCCCAAGCTCTGGGTGGGCACCAGAATGCACACAAGAGGGAGAGGACACTGGCAAAGCGGGCAATGCGAATGGGAATGCTATCTGATAGGTATGCCAGCTTGGCATCGCTACCTCTTCACGGTTCTGCATTTCGATCACTTGGGATTGAAGCTCATGCCTCGATGCACCAAAGAGTGTTGCCATCGTCAACCAGGCCTTTTTCACATGAGGCCGGAGTTGGTGGAGCGAGGTTTGAACAGAGCTATTTCGGGTTGCCAATCTTTATGGAACACAATGAAACAGAGCTGTTTTGGCCAGGAAGTTTCCGGCAACTTAGTAGTAATGGCGGAGTCAGTGACGATTTGGGTTTTGGGTCTGGACAAAGTTCGAACATAAATTTTGTAGCTATGGCTCCGGCACCAATAACAAATTCGTCTTCACCTGATCTGACGTTAAAGCTTTAACTTTGAATTCCCAACATTATTTGCTGCTAAATTTGCGTCTCAATTTGATGTTTTCTCCTTGTACAGTGAGATAAGCGTTTGCGATTGCAGCGAGCTTATAGTTTTTTTCTTTTTTGCCTTTTCTTGGTGCCGGTTGAGTAACTATGCTTTTGCCTTCAAATGATAATAATTTCCAAAGATTGGGAATTTTGGGTAATGTTAATTTTGGTGTATGTTTTTGGGATTAACTTGTAAGGGATCTTGTTTGTTTTTGACTTCATATTCATTTCCGAACTTGCAAGGTCTAAGTTCAAAAACAGAAGTCCTTGTTAGACCAAAAGCGTGAATCCAAGCCAAGAACCAACTAACCTTTTTTTTTTTAAAATTTTGTTATCAGCTTTATTTTTTGATAATCAGCGTCAATGTCAGCTTATCCCAAAGTCCTAAAGTTAACGGTCAGACCAAAAGTGGGGAGAATTGCAAATTATTTTTGGGTAAATTACATTGACACTTCTTGAGCTTTATGTTTATTATAATTTTTTCTCTCACATTTTGAAATTTACATCTCCTTCTTGAGATTTAAAGTTTCATTATAGATTGCTTCCTCTAGCAATTTAATTTTTTTAAATACCAATTTTGCTCTCACTGGATAAATTACATTGACACACTTCACATTTTAAAAATTACAATTCCCTCCCCAAGGTTTAAAGTAGCATTACCAATTGCCCTTTCAGTTAGTATTAGTTGAAAAAAAATTCATTAGAAAAAAAATTATTTGAAAAAAAAATAATTGAAAAAAAAAATTAATTGAAAAAAAATTTTGTTAGTCAAATTTTTAAATTTCTGTTTAAAAATCAACATAAACTCATTTTTTGAATTTACGTTTTTTCCTCAAATTTACAAACTAAGACAACCATTTATAAATCAAAAAAATTATCAAAAAAGTTTTTATGACGGTTTTTAAATTTTTGTAAATATAAATTAAAAATTGAAAATTGAAAACGAAATGGCCAAACAGGCTTCAGATAGTAAAAATGTCGTAAAATTAACAAATAATTAAATAAGTTACCAACGTAAGAAATGATTTATCAAAAGATTCTTAGGTTATGTATGGTTTGATTTTTAGAATTTTTTTTAAAAAAAATTAAAAATTAATTTGGTTAAGAAATAAAAAATAAAAAATAATTATTATTTTTATATAATTTTTATCTTTCGAGTGTAATAAACATAAACCTCAGGGAGTGTCAGTATAATTTTTATCTTACGTTGGTTTTAAGAAATTTAAAATTTTGACTAACAAATTTTTTTTTCAATGAATTATTTTTTTCAAATAATTTTTTTTTTCCATTAATTTTTTTTAAATGAATTTTTTTTCCAATTAATACTAACCGAGGGGGTAATTGGTAATGCTACCTTGAACCTTAGGGAGGGGATTATAATTTCTAAAATGTGAGGGGTGTCAATGTAATTTACCCAGTGAGGGCAAAATTGGTATTTAAAAAAATTAAATTGTTTGGGGAGGCAATATGTAATGAAACTTTAAACCTCAGGGAGAGGGATGTAATTTCCAAAAGGTGAGGGAGGGAATTGTAATAAATACAAATCTCAGGGAGTGTCAATGTAACTTACCCATTATTTTTTGATAATCAGCATCAATTTTTCACCAATTTTATGGGTTTAATTTTCAACTCATTCTTTTTTTTTTAATTCAAAAATATGGATGTACAGATAAGTTACCCCACATATTCGTCAAGGAACATTGTCCCTTAATACCCACAAACCTCAATATGGAAGATAGTTGAACCCAAGCATTGAGCGATGTGGACAAACACCTTACCATTAAATCAACAGATCATTGGTAATTTTCAACAACATTCTTAATAATGAGATTAGCTGATATTCTAAAAAGCAAAAAACATGCTACATAGATTTATAAATAAAATTTTCTTATCTATACTATTATATAAAACAAACACTAGACTTGGTGTATGTGTAGATCGCCCGAACTTCCTCCGTGCCCCCCTTTTGGAGAGGGCGCGGATTTGGGTTCATAACTACTACAATTCGGACTCCTGTCACGATTCTGTATCTAACCTCACAAAGTGCAAAGTAAGACTGATAAATCACCAAAGAGTCCAAATTCGGCAAATCGTTTTGGAAAATCGATTTTAATCAACAAGTGCCAAACATGGACTGCTTTGCTAGATTACATAGTCGCCACCTAAATGTTTTGTTTTTTGGAAAATTTAGGAAACCCTGACTCGTGCCTAAGGCCACATGTCCGTCATCACCAAAGTTGCCTCGGCTCGGGAACTTGGGTACGAGGGGGGAAGGTCATGAAATGAGCACCCCCGCTCGCCCGATTAAAGGATCGACCTTTACTAATTATGATATGTTGTTTTGAAAACACATGTGTTTTTATTCCGGTTATTTAGCTAACTTACTACGTGATGCGCACAACATACAAGTATAGACTAGATCGCTTAAATTGGAACAAAACAATTCAATATTTGTTTTCGAAAATGGTTTGAATTTGCCACCATCAAGTGGGCTTAGAAATGCAGATTTGCCACCAAACAAAGTGGGCTTAAAACATGGTGATTTGCCACTCCAAGTGGGCTTAAAACTCACATTTTGATGAATTGTTCCAATTCAAGTAATGAAGCCTTCACCCACAGGCATTCATGCAGTTATAGCAATTAAGCAAATAGCCTCATGGCAAACATGCTATCATGGCAACACTCACACTCATGCAAGTATGCTAAAGCGTAAATACTTACAGTGTACTCCAAGCCAAAACAGAGAACTAGTTAGAAATCATGCATGATCCTAGCTATGTAAAAATGCCTAATGCAACACATGCAAAAATGCAACGAAATAGGCTCGGCTATCTAAAATTGCATATGAATGCAACAATTCGACAGCTTGCTTTGACACACGTATTCAAGGAAGTGTTGAAAGTCAATGCAGTTTGAATGGTGCTCCAAGCCCGGTGTATGCAAGACAAATGAATGATGCAAACATGCAAGCATAAGGTATGCTAATTGAAAATGACCCTAAACTAACCATCGAAAGCGGTTAAGTAAAAGGGAGAAAGACGTGGGGTTGGAAGACATTAACACACACACGCACACTTATTACAACATTTGCCCTCTCGACGGAGGGTCCGAATGAATTAGTTAAGCTAATCTAAGCTAAGCTAACTAACTAATCTAATTAAGCTAATTAGACTAATTATTACAAAACAACTAATTAACTATGCTAAGCTAATTAATTATTACAAACCGAATTGAATAACTAGCTAATCTAAGCTAATTAAAGCAATTAAATTAATTAACCATCTAAGCTAATTAATTACAACATATTGAAATAGCTAGAAGCAACTAACTAATAAAGTAATAAAGAGAAGATGGCCTCGTGGGCGAGGGAGATATGCATGCTCGGTTAGCGTCGTCCCGAAAACCCATTGCCTTGCTGTAAACTGTCCGAACTCGCTCCGCACGCCCCCATTTCGGAGAGGGTGCGAATTGTAGTTCTAGCTACTACAGTTTGGACTCCTGTCACGGTTCTGAATCTAATCTCACAAAGTGCAATGTAAGACCGATAAATCACTAAAGAGTCCAAATCCGGCAAATCGTTTTGGAAAATCAATTTTAATCAAAAAGCACCAAACATGGACCGCTTTACCAGATTTCAGAGTTGCCACCTAAATATTTTATTTTGGGAAATTTAGGAAACCCTGACTCGTACCTAAGACCACGTGTCCGTCATCACCAAAGTTACCTTGGCTCGGGAACTTGGGTACGAGAGGAGAAGGTCCTGAAATGAGCACCCCCACTCGCCCGATCAAAGATCGGCTACTACTAAACATGATATGTTGTTTTTAAAAACACATGCGTTTTTATTCTGATTATTAAGCTACCTTACTATGTGATGCGCACAACACACAAGTATAGACTAAATCACTCAATTTGGAACAAAACATCTCATGTTTGTTTTTCAAAAATGGTTTGAAAGATGCTACCCTCAAGTAGGCTAAGACGCGGATTTGCCACTCTCAAGTGGGCTTAAAACATGATTTGCTACAAACAAGTGGGCTTAAAATACACATTTTGATGAATTGTCCCAATTCAAGTAATGAAGCCTTCATCCACAGGCATTCATGCAGTTAAACACTTAAGCAATTAGCCTCATGGCAAGCATGCTATTATGGCAGTCACTTACACACATGCAAGGATGCTAAAGCATAAACACTCACAGTGTACTCTGAGCCAAAACAGAAGCTATGTTTGAAATGCCTAATGCAACACATGCAAAATGCAACTAAGTAAGCTCGACTATCTAAGATGGCATATGAATGCAACACTCGATGACATGCTTTGAAACACGTATTCAAGTAAGTATTGAAATTCAATGCAGTTTAATGATACGCCGAGCTCGGTGCATGCAATACGAATAAATGATGCATGCATGTAAAGCATAAGTATGCTAATTGAAACATGTCCTAAAACTAACTATCAAAAGCTGATAAGTAAAAGGGAGAAAGACGTGGGGTTGGAAGACATGCATCACACACGCACACTTATTACAACAACACATCCTCTCGACGGAGGGTCCGAATAAAAGCAAAGCTAATATAAGCTAAGCTAAGCAACTAATCTAATTAAGCTAATTAGACTAATTATTACACGACAAATTGAATAACTAGCTACAACTAATTATTACATCACTTTAACTAATTAACAAAATTAAATTACATAAACATGCTAATTAACAAGTAAGCATTAAACTACACTACTTAGCTCTGCTTTGGAAAGTTGAACAATGCATGCACTCGGTTTCTCGCCCCGAAAAGATCTCCGATTTGCTCTTTTAAAGGCTTTGTTTGCAGGGTGTCCTTAAGAACTTGCTGCTGAAATTTACCAAATCAAGGCTGGGGAATGCACCAGTGGCCTGCCGGCCATGAATAGTTGCTGCCGACCCCCTACCGGCCAAAGATGGACCATTGCCGGCCAAGGGTGTAAGGGTGCCGGCCATCAATGTGGCCTTGTCGGCCACTGGTGTGCTGTGACACCAAACTGCAACGAAGCACAAGATAGAGAAAAATGAGGGTCTCCCAAGGGTATATACGTATTGTGCC